GCAGTTTCAAGGGTTCAACGTAATTGAAGGTAGTATGGGTTTTTTTGTTGTTGTTGTTAAGTATTTCATAATGCTCATTTTTGAAGGGGAGAAGACAGTGTGAGTGGGGTAGGGGCAGAGAGAAAGGGAGGCAGAATCCAAAGCAGGCTCCAGGCTCTGAGCCTGACACGTGGCTTGAACTCACAAGCCGTGAGATCATGACCTGAGCTGAAGTCAGACACCCAGCCGACTGAGCCACCCAGGCGCCCCGAAGGTAGTGTGTTTTATTTATTTATTTTTGTTTTGTTTATTTCTGAGAGAGAGAGAGAGACCGCATGAGCAGGGGAAGGTCGGGGTGGGGGGTGGGGGGGGCGGCGGACACAGACTCTGAAACAGGCTCCAGGCTCTGAGCTGGCTGTCAGCGCAGAGCCCGACGTGGGGCTCGAACCCATGAACTGTGAGATAAATGACCTGAGCCGAAGTCGGATGCTTAACCAACTGAGCCACCCAGGCTCCCCAAAAGGTAGTGTGGTTTTCATGGCAAGGAGTACCTAACAGTTTGGGTTGTTGACCCCTTAGACCTGGAGAGTTTGTGGGCTCTTTGTCCCAGGACACCCCATATGGCCTTGCCTGTGATCCACTGGCACCTGGAATTACTTGTTTTGCCATTCTCTTAGTCATTGCTATTGTCGTTTTAAACAGTCTGTATTTACATCTCCACTTAGTACTTTAAACATTATCCATCCTTACTATGAAAAGCAGAGAAATTAAGCACTTCAGCTCTCCTCACCTCCAGAGGTTTGTTAGTTTTCACTTGTTAAAGATGTTAGGCATATTTTTGCTGTTACTCCCGTTAACAACCAGGAACCTCCTAAGGGTTGGAAACGTGTGCCAATCACCATGGGTCTCTCTCCTCAAATCTCCCCCCTTCTAGGTTTCCAGAGGCAGTTAACACACATAAAGAAAAGGTATTTGAATCAAAGTACCCCTTTATTAATAGCTCCACAACAGCTCCTGCCATTCAGTTAGCTCTCCTGAGAAGCTGGTTTGGAGTTAGTGGTTTAGGGCTTTGCTCCTCACAGTGTAGTCCATCAACTTCACCTGGGAACTTAAGTCCTGTCATCATTCCACCCTGCGTTCACATGATCAGCAGCTGCAACTTAACAGGATCCCCTAGGTGAATTAGCTGCATATAAAAGTTTGAGAGCTACTACTTTAGGGTCTAAGTTGAAGTGGAAGATGGCACCACTTCTCCCTTCTCCACGCTTACCCTGAATTCCTGGAGATTAGCAATGTATCTTGAGACGCCATAACACAGTTGTTGGTCTTGGTCGGGGTAGAGAAAAGGAGGAAGGGCTCCCCCAGTAAGCTCTGACACAGCTTACTGATTAAGACAGAGTAGTAAAATGCTAGAATCCTAAAGGGTTTTCATAAGACACAGTAATCCTACCCACGTTAAAAATGTCAAATATCTTAGGCTCTGACCAAATTAACTGGGTGAGCATAAGTTTACTCACTCTTTGCCTGTATCCTTATATTGAAGCAGAGTGACAGTTCCCTGCCCCAGGTTGTAAGAATTGAAGGAGATGATGCACATACTGTGTAGCACCATGCCCAGCACCTAATAAGGCCTGAGAAAAAGTATAACCTGGATTGTTTCCTGGCAGCGGTACTGCTGGAGGATGCCGGGACGCAGAAGTTCCTATCCCCTTATGTTGAGATTTATGTCATTTACACTGCCTTCTATACCACAGCTGTTAGTGCTCAGTTTTCTATTGCAGTGCCATACTCCATTTTAGATCATAGTTCTTCATTCCAGAATTGTTTATTTGGATCTGTCCTTTCATTGGATGGATTTTTTCTTCAAATATGGCTAGTGAGTGTTCTCTCTCTTTGAAACCTTTTATATTTCAGACTTATGCTGTCTTATACACACAAGATGAATACCTGATCTGTAGTATCACATTTTCTCCTATCTCTGTTGATCAGCATTAAAGTGTAAGTCAAGAACTCCCAGGGTGAGAACAAATGGTGTTCCATCCAAGACGTACTGAGTGGGGTCACATGCAGAGTGAGCGTCAGCTGTCTGCATTTTACTCCAACTCTCCGAATTTCCACCAAAACTAGAGAACCACTGTGGTGCTTGAACCACCGTCTCCTAGCAACCACTGCTGTGGTGCTGAAGGCCAAGGCCAACATGGTTTTACCTTTTTATAGGTAATGTTTTTATACCTGGATTTCCGAGGATTCTTTGTCCTTGAAACTCAGTGACTTCTCACAATATGCCTAGGTATTAGTCACTTCTGAATCAGTCCTAGAATGTGGCAAACCGTAGTAAACACAGTAGCCACACATTAGCATTTTCCTTTACTTCCAAAAAAAAAACAAAAAAACAAAAAACCCTTACTATAACTTTGAATATGTCTCCTATTCCTACTTTGTGGAGCCTTGCCGCAGGCCCAGCTGAAACATGTAACCACGACTTTCCAGTGGTACCAATCTGTGCCATTGTGTGATTTTTCTCCACTAGTTCTCAACAGGCCCAGGGAAGATGGATGTCTTAGGTGGTGATCAGATGAACAGCATCCAGGAGCATTTTAACAGCCCACGTGTTGCTGAACTTACTTACAGAACATGGGACCCTCCGGTCAGGACACACCCAGGATAGGTGTGGGGAACACTTGTAAGGAAGTTCAGGTTTCTGGTATCTGAGGTTTCCGTGCATCTGAAAGGAAAACACCATGGCCTACCTTGAAGTCAATGGTAGCTGGATTAGGTGTGCCTGTCACCTAGGCTTCCCGGGAGACATGAGAAGCTCTGCTACAAGGAGAGGCCCTGCTAAACAGGTGATGAAGTTGTAGTTGCTCAGGGTCCTCAGTGAGAATTTGTGGCGCTGCCTAGGGGGAGGCGGGCTGTGGAATAGAGGCTAAGTGGTAGGACATTGGGGGGTGCTGATTAGCACTCGTGAATTGAAGGGACTGAGGAAGGTGTGTCTCCTGCATCCAATCACATTCTTGTCTAGGGATCCTCAAACAAATGCATATCCCTCCCGTAGGGCTTCTTCTCCCCTTACTTCGTCTAATTGTCTCTCCCTGGAAGGCTTTCTCTCCTTCCTCATTTGTCTAATTCTTGTTAGATTTCACCAAGCCAGGTGCTTCTGGGAAGACAAGCCTCCCACCTCCTCCTTGCTCGCTTGCTCTTTTCCTTCCTTTTGCCCCTGGCCCCACTCTGAAGAGGTGAGGTGCCCCTTCCGCTTTCTCAGTGTCCTCTGCATAGCTCTGGCTTTAGCATTGCTTCCTATGCTGCTTCGTGGATTGAGTTCCTGAAAGGCACTTCTCTTTGGATACGCAGAGCCTAGAATGGTGTCTGGAAAATAGCTGTTTGATTAATTTACTTCTGGTAAGTAAATCATAAAAATGAAAAGGTAACATACTGGAGTGAAAACAGTACCACACTTTCTTATAGATATTAGCTTGAACAAGTTACTTTAGGTCTGAACATCATTTTGTTACTTTTAAGAAACATCTATATAAGATATCCTGCTTTCAAGATTGTTCTAAGGATTTGCAGTCATATAACTCCTGTAGCACAGTGACTGGCATAGGTCAGGCTTTCATACCTGGCATGATTATTGTTACCATCTTTACCGTTAGAAATATGCCAGAAAAGCACTTGTCAGGATAATTTGTTGAAAAGAATTGGTTGCGATTAGGATTTACAAAGCACTGCTATTAGGGAGATGAATGTGGAAGTAGTTTATTGGACAAACTGTTATTTACAATTGTGTTTTGTTTTGATGGAATATCTTAAAATATGTCATTGTTTTTTGCATGAAACCTAGTTGGATGATAATGGTGACGTGTGTGTCTGTAATCAGTTCCCTTGTGTTACTTTATCAGCATTCTTTTATGTCTTGTCCTTAGTGTCTACTACATTTTTCTTTTTTTGCATTGTGAAGAATTGGAAAATGCACTTCTAAAAGCAACTCTGTGCCAAATACCCATTTTGTGATCTATTATTTATAGAAAAACATCAGAAAATGCATCAATATTAAGAACCAAGTTTCTAAAGACGTAGCATTTCACATTCCACTTTCTTTTGGCTTCTATTTCAATTATCTCACTTAGACTTCAATTTTGAAACATTAATCAAGGTCAAAATAGCACTTCTCTTTTGTGTGTTTGGTCACATTTGCCTTTCAGACATAGACCTTTCTGTTCCATGTAATTTCTTTACCCTTATGCGAGTAATTCATGTCCATTTTCAAAGATTTTAAAGTAAAAAATGCTGGGGTAGGGGGGTGTAAATAGAAGATTACAGGTGTAAATTTTATCTAGCTTTGAGTAGGATTCTTTCTTACAGCAGTTTCTGTTAATTACATAATATTCTAGACAGTATTTAATGCATTTATAAGCATAAGCCAAGAAGTTTTGCTTTAATGTCAAGAGAATTATGCTGTACTTGTTTTTATGTGACTTGATTTTATTTTATTTAATATATGAAAATATCTTTTCATCTCATTCTTTTTAAAAACAGCTTTATTGAGCTCTACTTGACATAAAGTACATATTTAAATTATACAAGCCTATGTGTTTTGACCTATGTACATACCTGTGACGTATGTACCGCCTCTTGGAGGAAAAAGCGTCAAATGGTCTGTGGACATACGCTGAAATCCCTACAGTAATTTACATATATTTGGAAGCATATTTTGAGGCTATGCAAATATCCTGTTGGCCCCTGAATTTTCACATTCATCAGTGGATCTTGCCTGCATCAGTTATTATGGTAGTATTTTAACAATGATTTTCTATTTCTCTCATCCCTTTTATTTTGGAATTCTGCAGGGAAGATTTGCCCCTTCTCTCCTACCTTGTTTGTTTACTTATTTAATAACTTACTTGTATCAGTGCAAAATTTGGTAATCCCCGAGACCACCCTCACTTCTGACATCAACTGCCAACTTGGGGGTCCTCAAGACAGACTGCATGCTCAATCATTCACTAGAGGGACTCCCAGGATTCAGCAAAGTCATTTTACTCAGTTTATTATAGCAAATTAAAATCAGCCGAGGGGAAGAAGTGCATAGGACAGGGTCCAGGGGACGCCAGGTGCAGAATTTCCGGTTACATTTTCCCAGCGGAGTCATGCCGACCGCATTTTCTTCTCCCAGCGATGATGTGTGGCAACACACGTGGAGCACCGACAGCCAGAGAATCTTGCCCAGACCTCGGTGTCCAGTGTTTATTGGGGCTTGTCATGTGGTTGATCACATGTGCTTGACCTTGGTTTGAACGCTGAGCTGATACTGTCTGGTGCAAAGTCCTTACCCCTGAAATCACACTGTTACCATAGATTATCTGGCAAGGGCCAAGGCCTCCAGATAAACGAAGGCATTCTTCTTATGCAGGACACCCAAGGGTTAGAAGTTACTTCCCAGGAATTGGAGGCAAAAGCCGCAGCTCTCAACAGCAAGGTGAATCCTTTACTGAGAAATTAGTACCAAATTGTAGGTATTTATTTTGTTCTTTAGATTCGAATCCAGTGCCATCATTATTTTTTTGCTCACGTTCCTTATTTGGCCATTGAGAGGTCTTTCAGGTTGGCTTCTCTGCCCTTTTAACATGCCTTATCCTTTCTTTAAAAAAATGCACTTTGCTACTTTTTGACATTTAATGATACTCCACACATATCTAGTATTTTCCTTTCCCTAGCTATAGAGAAAGCCGTTTCTTCAAAGAGCTCTATTGAAGAATGGCATTTAGAAAACAAGACCTGGGCATTAGGTGTGTTCATTAGTACTAGGCTCCTTTACTGGGTAGAGCTCATATACAAATACGTACGTGTGTATTAACTCATGTATACTTTCATTTTTCTTTATAGATACTAAACATGAGTTCACACTGATATCTCTGCTGTATTCCAGCACCACTTGGGTTTAGTCTAGCCTTTCCCTCTTGCTTACATGTCACTTTTCTCTTGTACCCTGGCTCTTGTTATCATATTTACTTATTTGCTCCACCTTAGTATACATGGAAAGCAGTTTCATAATTACCCGTGCCCTGTGTACCACAAAATTTATCAACTATAATACAGTGCTTTTTTGGTACATTTTAAAAAATGAATTTTTAAATTTTATTTTAGAGAGAGAGCAGGGGAGAGAGGCAGAGGAGGAGAGAGACTCTTAACAAATGCAGGGCTTGATCACATGACCCTGGGATCATGACCTGAGCTGAAATAAAAAATCAGATGGTCAACCAACTGAGCCACCCAGGCGTTTTGGTGCAGTTCCTGTTTTTTCTTTCTTGCTTCCCCCTCTCCTTCCCTCCCCCCTTCTTCCTCCCCCCACGTTTTTTTGCCTTATATCACATAGTCGTGCCCATCATTTTCCACCTTCACAAAGGATTCCCTAATCACTCTTAGCTAGAATTCATCTTCCATTCAGCATTTAAAAAAAAAAAATTATTTTGAGAGAGTATGTGAGAAGGGGGGAGAGGGAGGGAGGGAGGAAGGGAGGGAGAGAGGGAGAGAGAGAGAGAGAGAGAGAGAGAGAATATGAGGGAATCCCAAGCAGGCTCCTCGCTGTCAGTGTAGAGCCCCACGCAGGGCTAGAATGAGATCATGGCCTGAGCCGAAATGGAGTCAGAGGCTTAACTGGCTGAGCCACCCTGACGCCACCCTTACCACATCTAGTGAAAGCAGTGGCTCCCAAAGTGACTTGGAGCTTCCGTGCAAGACGGTGACATAGGAAGCCTTTGAACTCACCTCCACGGACACACCAAATTTATACCTATAGCTTGTCTACCTAGTTACACCCAATGTACCCGTTTACAGAGCAATTCCTCCTGAGGAAGGGCAGCTTCTGCACCACAAAAGGGGAGAGCAAGGGAGAAGCGCAAGCGCCCCCGAGCAAGCTGGTCCCGGTAGTGAGGGGAACCCCACTTCCCACGCGGCGCACGGCCGTGGGGACCGGCAGGACCGAGGGACCCGGAGCAGATTCTCTGGCCCTGGGGCTCCGAAGAAAAGCTGCAGTTAGAAGGCAAGTAGGATAGAAAGGAACCAGCGCTAGAACCCAGCCAGGCTGTGGCCGGAGGAGCGGGGACCCTGTGTCGATGTCGGAGGCCTGCAGCCGTCTGGGTTCACCTGGGCGTACGCTGGGTTTACGCTGGGTTCACGCTGGGTTCACCTGGGCGTACGCTGGGTTTACGTTGCTTGTACGTTGGGTTTACGCAGGGTTTACATTCTTTCCGCTTTGATCTTGAGCGCAGCCGCGAGCACCTTCCGGGCCCCTGCGCCTCGCCTGGGCCTCAGGGCCCCCAGCCGTCCCAGCCCGCCACCCCCACTCCTGCCCGGGGACATAGGTCCGGCTTGCCGTGTAACAGGGCAGCTGGCCCCGGAAAGATCCAGCCCTAGAGCCCCACCGAAGTGCTGGAGAGCGGCTAGAACCCTCTTCCGGTTCGAGGAGCCAGTGAGCACCGCGGGTTTTGTTCCAGAGTTACTTGGGTAAGTTCCTTTCATTCCCCGCTCCTTCAGTGACGTCATGCTGTCACAGGAGGGTGGGACAGGGTCCTTGGCTCACCGTGTCCAAGAATGAATCTCGCAGACAACAGAGAGTGAGGAAAGCGAGAAGAGTTTATTGAGACGAAATGTAAAACGCTCAGGAGTGAGAGGCGTCCCGACCAGGGAGCCGTTGAGGACTTTCGGCCCTGCGTTTTTGTTAGGACCTTATCAGAAAGTCTGTGAGACTGCAGGCATGGCACCTGGCCCAGGCGGGTCTGGGATACCTTCATCCCCCGCCCCCCCCAAACGCCACTGCTTCTTCAGCCTCCCACCTGCAGCCGCAGTCCGCCTCCTTTTCTCTCTCTGCCTGATGTGAACCCTTTCCTACCTGATGTCACACATTTGTAATGTAGTTGGGTTTATTTGTCAGCCTGGATTTCATCTTGATGTCCTCACTGAATTATTTTTAATTTCCAAGCAGTAAAAGTCACTCAAAATTCCCAGGTACAGCCCCTTTGTAATCAACTTCTCCTCCTTCAACACTCACTCACTCACTCACTGATCTGTTTCCCATTCCTGTAGTTTTTTTTTTTTTTTTTTTTTTGCCTTTTCCGGGTTGTCGTCTAAAGAAAATAACAGATGTAGCCTTTTAAGGCTGCCTTCTTTCAATTTTTAAAATGCATTTTTGCGTCATCCATTTTGTTAGGTGAATCAGTAGTTCATTCCTTTTTATTGCCAATTACTATTCCATTGTACCGTAGATGTGCCGTAGCTTTTTTTATCCATTTGCCTGTTGAAGGATGTTTTGATTGTTCTCAATTTTTGGCGATTATGAATAAAGCTGCTACAAACCCTTATGTACAGGTTTTTATGTGAACAGAAGGTTTCAGTTCATTTGAGTAAATGTATAGGAGTGGGAAGAAAAATTGTTTAGCAAAGTGGTTGTAATATTTTTTCTGGTTGTTGGGGCGCCTGGGTGGCTTAGTCGGTTAAGCATCCAACTTTCGCTTAGGTCATGATCTCGCGGTTCGTGGGTTCGAGCCCCGCGTCGGGCTCTGTGCTGACTGCCAGCTCAGAGCCTGGAGCCTGTTTCAGTCTGTGACTCCCTCTCTCTCTGACCCTCCCCTGCTCACACTGTCTCTCTCTCTCTCTCCTAGAAATAAATAAAACATTAAAAAAAAATATTTTTTCTGGTTGTTGTTACCACCAACACAATTGAATGAGCATTTTTGCTCCAAATCCAGGTCAGCGTCTGTAACTGGGAGGCTTTTTAAACGCCATCCTAATAATTGTGTTATGGTATCTCAGTGGCTTTAATTTGCATTCCCCTAATAACTAATAAAGTTCAGGGTCTTTTCGTGTACTTGTTTGCCAGCCATATGAATTCTGTGACAGTGTATGTTCAAAACTTTTGCTCATTTTTCAATTGAGGTGTTTGTTTCCTTTTTGAGTTTTGGTAGTTTTTTATATTATGAATATGAGTCTTTTATTAGATACTTGTTACGTTTTAGCAGCGTTTTTCTAAAGCAGAAGTTTTAAATTTTGAATCATTTTTTAAAAAATATTTATTTATTTCTAGGAGAGAGAGAGAGAGACAGTGTGAGCAGGGGAGGGTCAGAGAGAGAGGGAGTCACAGACTGAAACAGGCTCCAGGCTCTGAGCTGGCAGTCAGCACCGAGCCCGACGCGGGGCTCGAACCCGCGAACCGCGAGATCATGACCTAAGCGAAAGTCGGACGCTTGACCGACTAAGCCACCCAGGCGCCCCAAAATTTTGAATTATTTTTAAAGCGATCATCACTTGGTGTTATATCAAAGAGTGTCATATAGTTGGAATCATATAGTATCTAACCTTTTTGGATTGGCTTCTTTCTCGTACTAACACGTATTTCAGTTTCCACCACATCTTTTCATGCCTGATAGCTCCTTTCTTTTTAGCGCTGAAAAATATTCGATTGTCTGTCTGTACCACAGCTTATCTCTTCTTCTGCTGAAAGCCGTCTTGGTTGCTTTTGGATTTGGCAATTATTAATAGGCTGCTATAAACATCCATGTACAGGTTTTTGTATGGATATACATTTTTTTTTTTTATGTTTTATTTATTTCTAGGAGAGAGAGAGAGACAGCGTGAGCAGGGGAGGGTCAGAGAGAGAGGGAGTCACAGACTGAAACAGGCTCCAGGCTCTGAGCTGGCAGTCAGCACAGAGCCCGACGTGGGGCTTGAACCCACGAACCGTGAGATCATGACCTAAGCGAAAGTCGGATGCTTAACCGACTAAGCCACCCAGGCGCCCCATTGTATGGATATACATTTTCAACTCCTTTAGGTAAATACAAAGGAGTACAATTAATGGATTGTATGGTAAGAATATATTCAGTTTTGTAAGAAACTGCCAAACTGTCTTCCAAAGTGGCTGTACCATGAGAGCATAGAAAAAATGTGAGTTTGCTGTTGGATGAAGTTGTCTGCAGCTGTCAGTTACATCCAGTTGATTGATGGTGTTGTTGAGTTCAGCTGTGTCTTTAATGATTTTCTGTCTGCTAAATCTGTTTGTCTCTGATAGCAAAAGATTCCCACTATGATAGTGGGTTCATCTGCTTCTCCTTGTATTTCTATTAGTTTTTGCCTCATGTAGTGTGATGCTCTATTGTTAGGCACATACTCACTAAAGACTGTTATATCTTCTCAGAGATCTGACCCGTTTATTATCATGTAGTGCCTTTCATTATCGCTGATGCCATTCCTTGCTTTGAAGTTGGCTTTGTCTAAAATAAATGTAGTTACTTTTGCTTTCTTTTGATTAGGGTTAGTGTGGTATATTTGTCTCCATCCATTTACTTTGCACCTATGTGTGTCTTTATATTTAAAGTAGGTTTCTTGGGGCGCCTGGGTGGCCCAGTAGGTTAAGCATCCAACTTCGGCTCAGATCATAATCTCACAGTCCGTGGGTTCGAGCCCTGCATCAAGCTCTGTGCTGACAGCCTGGAGCCTGTTTCGGATTCTGTGTCTCCCTCTCTCTCTCTGCCCCCTCCCCAGTTTGTGCTCTGTCTCAAAAATTAATAAACGTTAGAAAAAAATTAAGGAGGGTTTCTTATAGACAACATATAGCTAGTCTTACTGTTTGATCCACTCCAACAATCTGTCTTTTTTTTCCCCAACAATACCTTTATGGAGGTATTATTGACAATGAAAAATTGTTCATTTTAAGGTGTACATGATCTTTTGATATACATGTACATTGTGAACTGGTTACCATATTTAAGCTAATTAATATATCCATTACCTCAGGTAGTTACCCTTTTCTGAGTGTGTGATGAGAACACTTGAGATCTACTCTTTTAGCACATTTCAGGTATAGAACACAGTATTATTAACTATAGTCACCATGCTGTACGTTGGGTCTCCAGAACTTAGTCATCTTAAAACTGGAAGTTTGCTCCTTTGACCAGCATATTCCCTTTCCCCTGACTCTCCAGCCCTTGGTAAACATCATTTTATTTGTTACTATGAGTTAGACTTTTAAAAAGTGTATATTCTACATGTAAGTGAGATTATATGGTATTTGTCTTTCTGTGACTCTACTTTCTGTGACTCTAGCTTATTTCATTTAGCATAATGTCCTCCAGTTTCATCCACATTTTCCATCACAAATGACAGGATTTCCTTCTGTTTCTAAGGCTGAATAGTATACCGTTTTGTGTGTGTGTGTGTGTGTGTGTGTGTGTGTGTGTGAGTGAGTGAGTGTGTGTGCGCATGCACACACGCGCGCCCACGCTTATAATCACGTTTTCTGTATTCATTCATCTGTTGACATTCAAGTTCTTTCTATATCTTCACTACTGTGATGATACCGCAATAAACAGGGGAGTGCAAATAACTTTTTCAGATAGTGATACTATTTCCTTTGGTTATATATATATATATATATATATATCCATCCCAAAGTGGAATTGCTAGATAGTATGATACTTCTATTATTAATCTTTTGAGAGCCTCCATACTGTTTTCCAGAATGGCTCTACCAATTTATATTCTCATCAACAGTGGACAGGGGTTCTTTTCTTTCTATACCCTTGACAAAGTTTATGTTTTGACATTTGTAATAGCTATCTATCCTAACCAGTGCAAAGTGATATCTCATTGTAGTTTCGATTTTCACTTCCCCGATTAGGGAGGTTGAACATCATTTCTTATACCCATTGGCCATTGTATGTTTTCCTTGGAGAAATGTATTTTATATCCTTTACCTGTTTTTAAATAGTTTTGCTTGGGGGCGCCTGGGTGGCTTAGTCGGTTAAGCGTCCGACTTTCGCTTAGGTCATGATCTTGCGGTTTGTGGGTTCGAGCCCCGCATCGGGCTCTGTGCTGACTGCCAGCTCAGAGCCTGGAGCCTGTTTCAGTCTGTGACTCCCTCTCTCTCTGACCCTCCCCTGCTCACGCTGTCTCTCTCTCCTAGAAATAAATAAAAAACATTAAAAAATAAATAAATAAATAGTTTTGCTTGTTTTTTTTTTTTTTGCTATCAAGTTAGAAGACTTTCTTACATATTTTTGCTATTAATACCTCATATGATTTGCAAATATTTTCTCATTCCATAGGTTGCCTCTTCATCTTGTTTATTGGCTCATTTGCTGTGCAGAATTTTTTTAGTCTGAATAGCCTCACATTTATTTTTGCATTTGTTTCTTATGTAAATTCTCTGTCTTTTAAAGTTTTATTTATGTGATGTCTGTACCCCATATGGGACTCAAACGCATGACCTTAAGATCAAGAGTCACATACTCTGCTGACTTAGCCATCCAGGTGCCCCCAAATCTCTTTTAACTGTTACATTTAGATCATGAAGAGTCAAAGTGATTATTTATATAGTTGGATTACTATCTTCCATGTTCATTACTGTTTTCTATTTGTTGGTGTTGGTTTTTTTTTTTTGTTCCTATTTTCATCTTCCATTTTGTTTTCTGCCTTTTGTGGTTTGAACTGACCATTTGATATGGTTTAAT